GTGCAGCGCTCATATTTATTCAATTTATTAAATCATTGCCTTTTGAAGTTTAATCCAGCCGTATCGCGACTCTTGTCTTTCCGTCCCCAACTGTAAGACCTCTTGAAATTATAATTAAGACATTTCTTATACCATTTAACGTATTTAAAACATTGTATGTCCTTAAGTTTGATACAACTCACTTTATGAGTTTTTAAGGACCCGCGGGAGATCTGCATTTAAGATAGCCCGTCGGGCAAAGTAGTGATACATTTTGGTAGCCCGACTGGAAAACACAATAGCCCCGGGACGTCGGGGTAGCGATTTTGCGAGCCCTGCTACTGATTTTAACTCGCCTGAATCAAGAGAGAAATAAGCACAGATCAAGCAATGTTTATTAGCAAAAACAGTCCAAAACAGTTCTAAACAAATATGTCAGTGGACTTTGATGTGAGGACAACAGAGGATGGACTTTTTCACTGGAGGAAGTGTTATTATGAATTATGGGCTAATATTTTGGCTAGGAGCTACAGTTTAAAGTTAAAATGTGTTAATGATGGATTTGTTTCTTATAAACACACAGCTTTTCACTTTACAAAATGTTAATTAATGGACTGGAGTCGTGTGGATTACTTGTGGATTATTATAATGTTTTTATCAGCTGTTTGGACTCTGATTCTGACGGCACCCATTCACTACAGTGGGTCCACATGTGGGCAAGTGATGTATTGCTAACTTTCTTCAAGTCAGTTTCAATGAAGTAATTTACATAAATTTTGGTAAACTATTCCTTTAATGTATGTGAACATTTTGCTTGTTTTTACAAGCTGAGGAACTGGAATTATTTTAATAAAAAGCTACTTAATTAGCAAAGCAAAATTAATTGTTTTGTGTTGAACATATTTTTGTATTCTTTTATGTAAGGTTTGTTTAGTAGTTTCTAGAAAATGCTCTGAAAATGCACCAAATTATGCCTTAATTCGATAATGAATATGAGACGTGCAAATATGAGGCATGATGTGTGATCTTCCCGCAGGTGTCTTCCTCTTCTGCTGGACTCCTTTTTTTGTAGTTCACACTACACGAGCCTTGTGTGAATCCTGTCACATCTCTCCAGACCTGATGAGCACAGTGACATGGCTGGGTTATGTGAATAGTGCTCTGAACCCAATTATCTACACTGTCTTCAACACTCAATTCAGAAAGTTCTTCAGAAGATTTCTTCCACGCTGCTGTTGACAAACACCAAATGGTCCATAAGACATAATAATGCCATAATTTATGCTAAAGACAATTGTAGTTGTAAACTGGACTGCAACTGTTTAATATTCTTGTTTTGTTTTGTAATAATCCTGCCAATACTTTATTTGTTTGTGCCTACCATGTACTACATCCATATTTTATATAAAGTGGACTTTTCAGTGCAACAAAACATTCTCAGTGGTGCCTAGAACATTTGTACAGCATTTTAAAATATGCCATGCTCTGTCAAAATATGTCTCAGTTCGAGTTAAGATTAATGATACAAAATACATAATGCATTGCATATTTCAGATCTATGAGATGTTATTGCCTGCAGGAACATTTTAAATTAAAATACCACAATGTACAAACTTTGTGATTTAATAACAGCACAGTCCCTCAAGTGGCACTGCATATTTTAATACATTTGATTTTGGTAAAGTATTTTAAATATTCCATAGATCCTGTATAGCTTTGAGTTTGATTTCATTTTTTCTGAAAATGGAATCTGCATATTGCTGTAAAGAGACATTTGTGATAAAGCCGCTATTCTCTAACAGGGGTTTGAAATAGGATTTCCTAATGTTACAGTGAGTTGAAGGCTCCAAAACATCATGAGAAAGTTTCTTATGAAGTTCCTGAAAAGCCCTGAGGATTTTTACCATACTTAGCTTTATTCTTTGAGCATATCATCTGTGTGCAGTGATGAAAGGATCAGACACCTGGGCAGAATTCTCACTTGTCTCTTTTTTTCCCCTCTCTTATTGAATTATAAATAAAATGTCTGCATGATCAAGTGCAGCTTCTCCCATAAGCCTGACATTGGCATTTCTTAGAGAATTAAGAATAACCAAGGCCTTGGTGAACTTCTGTCCTTCCCAACTAATGGTTCCTTTGTTTATCTGATTATTGCAAAAAAAATTACTTTTATTGAAAACATTTACATGTATATATTAGTTATCAAGACAATAATATATAATATTATGTAGACAGAAAACTTGAAATCAGCTAGGTGACTACCCATTACTTTTATAGCTCAATCAAAACCAGATGGAGCTCTTTTTTTCCATATCAAAACGTCTCACTTGATGGTGACACTATTGATGCCGTCGGGTATGTTCAAATGCGTGGAGTCACCATGCTTTGTGTTCTTAAAGTCTGATCCAATAGGAAAACCTTTTTAATTTGCCATGATGCCATTGTAGAACCATTCTAGTTCTAGGGTTCTTTAGAAAACCATCTCTATATTTTCACTTCAAAGAACCCTGAAAGGCGATGGCACATCGAACCAATCGGTGTTTCCAAAGAACTACACAGACAAATCAAGAACCCTATATTTGAAGACGTGTGTGTGTGTGTGTGTGTGTGTGTGTGCTAATCATGTTTTGGACCACACAATGACAATTGTCACACATGTCTATATCTGCTTCATTCTCAATGTCGTCTAATAAGGCCATTCTTCAACAACCAAGCTAATAAGCTTCTTGTTCAGGCCACAGCAATCTCAGCTCAACCCTTGCCACCTCCTCTATAACAACCTGCAATCTGCATATTCGACATGTCCCCAGTGAGAGCATCCAAAACATTGCTGCTTGACTTCTGTTTAACCTCCAGAGATTCTGTCATATCACCATTCTGCTCTGGTGTTTTCACTGACTGTCTGTCCCATCATATCATATGATGTGCTTCTTAAAACGTTTTGTTTCTTCCATTAGATATCTTGAATTGTCGGATAATTGAGGGTATTGTTTGCTTTATCCGTCCAGACCCTGTATAGTACCGAGCAACACTAGCCAGCAGGCCGAACTGAATTAGACAGAGAGGTAGTGTCTGGCATACTCAGACGCTGTGACACAATGACACAATGAACTGCGCAGTTCACCTTCTCAACAGACAAAACAGTCAAACAATGAGTCCTCTGCATTATCAGCCTGCAACTATTTTCCTTATTGTGTGTCAATACATGGCAGTTTATGAATGCGATGAGCACAGAGCTTCTGTTTTTCTTTCACTCCAACGATGTCAAAACACTGTAAAGAAGTTATATGGCATGACAAACCAAACCAGAAAATGCATTGCTATTTTTACTGGACAAATGAAGCATCTATGTGTGGACCGTAAGTTTAGGCACATGTAACAGTAAATTTACACTTAACAATGCCAACATATTCAACTGCTTTTACTTAAATTTCTTAACATGTAGAAATATTTGTATTAACATAAAAAGACTCATCAACTGAGACATAAACTGAACAAGTTTCACAGGCATCTGATGAACAGAAATGGAACAAAATCAAAGTCACAGTGAATATCTTGTGTGGTCACCAGCTGCTTTAAGAACTAGTGCATCTTATGTACTGCACCAGATTTGCCAGTTCTTGCTGTGAGATGTTACTCCACTCTTCCACCAAGGCACTTGCAAGTTCTTAAACAGGTCCAGGGGGATGCATGTTTACATGTGGTTTGCCACTGCAAGGATGTTCAGCTGTCCTTCCTGAAGCACTGCAGGCATCTTACATTACAGACTTTGCAGTTTATTGTAATTGTTTATCATCTGTAGTCCTTAGCCCTCCCTGCAGCTGGACTATAGCATGCTCACACAGGTAAGCAGAGACCCTGGGCATCGTTAATATAAGTCTTCTGTTAATATAACTGTGACCTTTATTATGTACTGGCTGTAAATCGTTAGTCCCTTAAAGGGGTAGTTCACCCAAAAATGACGAATGAAATTTTGTCATCATTTACTCACTCTCATGTCGTTCCAAACCTGTATGAGTTTCTTTCTTATGTTGAACATAAAAGAAGGTATTTTGAAGAATGCTGGAAATTAAACAGCTGATGGTCCCCATTGACTTCCATAATAATTATTTTCTTAATATGGAACTACTGTTTGGTTCTTCAAAATATCTTCTTTGGTGTTCAACATTAGAAAGAACAGGTTTGAAAAGTAAATGATGACAAAACTTTCATTTTTGGTGATCTATTCCTTTAAGGACTGTTCCACAGGTGCAGTATTTGTTTATGGTTCATTGAATGAGATTAGATAACGGAACATACCAAACCAAGCGGTGTCTTTAAACCAATGACACTAGAGCTTTTGTTAGAACTTAACATGCACATTTTTGGAGTCGCCAACTGGCATCACTTTTTTCAGTAGATGTTTGCAGGTTGTGTGCAAAATTACTCTACTAATATAGTGCACTAGAATTCAGAAACTATGTGTGGCCAAAAGGCTGGGGAAGCCATCTTTATATGAGACATGGGAATTTTTCAGCGAAACCATTTGTTCTTGAGCATTTTCTAGCGGCTAGCCACTGAGTTCACGTCAGCTGTATACACTCATTACTGCAGTGCATTATGGGACTGAATGAGTGCACTCAATAATGTGCAATATGATTTCGGACATCACTACAAATGACTGTCCCCTCCAATAAATAGTGCAGTATATATGGGATAGGAAGCTATTTCCCTATAAGTTCAATTAGGTGTCCTAGCAGAGTAACCCCAGGTGTAGTTCATGACATTAATTATAGACATATTCCACTGCCATCTATAACATGTTTAAATCTGCTTTTTAATCTTCACTGAAGAGTATGTCTATCAATTTTTTGTGTGTGTGAAAGGTTTTGTATGTGCTAACTTTGTTTACAATAATGGCACTTGGTTTGACATTTTCTACTTCATTTTCAATGTATTTTAATAATGTTGCATTTAAAGTTATTCTTGGTAAAGAATTGATACATTTGACAAATACAATAAAAATCCGTCACACTCACATAAGATAAAGACTCCATTCATATTCTAGAAAAAGCTTTTATTATTCATCAGGGTGGTTTTTCCTCACACTGGCCACCTCATTGAGATGAACTGACCAGCTGAATGCCACTCACTTTATCTCAGAACCACCATTAGTTACAGAATAAATTAATCATATCACCACAGTCATAAAATTTGTTTAAGATGATGGATAACAGCCAGCTAAACAAACAGAGATTAAATTCTTGTTTTGCATCTTTAAGCTACAGTACATTACTGTATTCATTATTTTACCACATTACCTGCAGTATGTAGAGGTGACCTAGTTATTTAGTTCTTGATCTTCATGCTCAACCCACTATATTCAAGTACACCTTTTCAACAAATGAAACTCTGTTCCTCTAGTGCATGCTCACTACTGAGGCAATGACTGGGCTTTCCAAACAATCAATCCCATTCTGGATCTTCAGATCCCATGTCAGGATGAAATTTGGTTGCTCACTCCTCCTTGTTCACTGAAGTCTATAGAAAAGGATGGACAAATTTTAGATACCTCTAGTTTTTGGGGTTTTGAAATGAGAATAAACATTTATAGAGACTATTTCCTAACAAAGAAGGAAACATTAAACAGTTAAAGACAAGTAAAGCAGCTTCAAGCTGTTTTGTCAATGTTATTAAATTGGACCAGTCTTTAAAATTAAAGTCATGAAGAATATTCTGGCAATTGAGGTACATGAAATATGACGGATAATGGTGCAAGAGGAGCATAAAAAAATTAATTTCTCCATAACTCTTGTAGAATACAAAATTTTATGAATGTTCTGCTGAGTACAGCAGACTAATCTACATGCATCTACTCGTGTGATTTATATATGAAAGAACAGAGATTGATTAAAACTTACCTTGTCTCCGCCAACATTCATTAGGGCTTCTAATTCCTGCTTCCATCCAAGGAGCTCCACCAGCTTTTTTACCCCACTAACTACGTCACCCAGATCAGCCACGTCATTGTGACGTTGGGACCCCCAAGCAAACGGCCCCACAAGATCTCGATTTATCAAAAGCCGTGACACTGAACCATGCACGGCACCAGCCAAGCTGGCGAAGGGCTCCACCTAACAATGCAGAAAATAGGCCTTTTTAAAAGCAGTAACCAGATAACCCAACAGTGGCATCTGCTGGGGATGTAGTTCCATAGCACAAGGCCTATTTTTGCAAATGATCTGCAGATTATAGATGTACAGATATACTTGGTATAAATCTAACACAACCATTTCAAATTATTTTTATAATAATGTCCTCATATTAATTATTGGCCAACTGCAAAACCTCCCTATACAATATATA